TCCTTGGAGAGAGTGTAGAAGAGCGAACCAGGTGGGGCCGGCTCCCTGCTCTGCCCCGGAGGCTGGAGCTGGTATTTGTCTCAGCAGTCAGCCAAGCTCAGGCAGCCGGGAGCCTTGCCCCTAAGCCTTCTCTTCTCCCAGTGAGATGTCCCCCATGGCCTGGCCCTGTGCCTTTGGGCCGAGGGCAAGGCCACCTCCTGTGCCCCCACCGCGGTGTTGGGCACTCAGACACCCTTATCGGGATTGTGGGCCTCGAAGCCCTTCCCGCTCCCCTGTGGCGGTGCCTCTGCACCTGTCTCTGTAACGCACTCACACCCTGGTGACATCGCTTTTCCAATTAAGCCCTCAAAGGTGCAAAGCTGGGATGACGAGAGCAGCCCTGGCCCTGCGCCCCGCGGCCCAGTGTGGGAGCATCACCCCAGCCCCAAGAATCCTGGCAGTTATGGAAAAGGGGAGCGAACGCAGAGGACGGACACAGCCTAGAGAGTCACTCCCAAGCGCCAGAACCATGCAGTAAAGGAACCGGTAACACGAGCCAAAGAGGATTTCGGAACATCCATGGACTGGGGACTCCTGGGCGTCTCTTACCTCCCCCTATTTTAAAGTGGGAGGATCGGGCTTCCCTGGTGGTGCAAGGGGTTAAGTAGAAGCACAATGAAGTCCAGCCAGGGAGCTGATCCACATGGCGCAGCAGACCTCTCCTGTCTCCCCGCTGCTCCCCTCAGCAGTGGATTTCAGTCGATCTGCCTGTTCTGCTCCCCACTCTGTCTCTGGTGAATCCTCTCACCCCCACACTTCTGGCCTGTACCCCAGTTCTTGTATGCATAAATAAATCTTAAAAAAAATAAAGTGGGAGGATCTATAATGGTTATTCTATGCCTGTGCCTCCACTGCGCTTGGGGTCTTGGGGTCAGATAACTTGCCTCTTTGTTGTCTAGGTCTTTAGACTGAGAAGAATTTTATATATTTTTTTAATATTTTATTTTATATAATTCTTACATCATTTTTCATCTTTGCACAATGTAAACATTTTCATTTTGGTTATATTCCCCATACAATTGCACCCCCCCATATTTTGATCCTAATCCTTCCTCTCCCGACCTCCCCCCCCCTGTAGTGTGTCTCTGGCTTATAGTTGCTCATTGATTTTGATTTTTACTTTGTATTAATTAGTCTTTTTCCTGGTCCCTTATTTAGGTTTTCTAAATTCCTGCTATGAGTGAGACCAGCTGTTGTTTTTCTTTTTCTTTCTGGCTTATTTCACTGAGCATGATCCCTTCTAGCTCCATCCATGGTGCTGCAAACTGCATGTGTTTATCTTTTTTGATTGCTGAGTAATATTCCATGGTGTATATGTACCACATCAAGAAGAATTATATTTAAGGAGCTCCTCCTAAGAAACTTCATTGACACCTGGAATATATTTAGATGATGAAACCTTGGACTTTAATCCCATAATGGGATGAGAATTGGAGGTTGTGAGGGAGTGAATGAACATATTTTGCATTTAGGAGGGATTTGAATTGTTGTGTCTATAGAGTGGATTTTAGTAGATTGTATTTTCCAAAAGAGCTTCACTAATATATACCTTATCCCATATGTTTTTCTTATGATAGGATTTTGACATTCCTTCTTTGGGAACTGGGATCTATAGTCTGTTCCCTTGAACCTGGGGGGAAGGCTAGAGGGAGAAGTAGATGAATCCACAAAAATAATAGGGAGATTTAAAAGCCTAATCCCTATGAGTAACTAATAGATCACAAATAATCAGAAAGGATATAGGTATAGAAAAGGATATAAAATATTTGAGTAGCCACAAAATGCATATTCTTTTCAAGTGCACATGAAACATTAATCAAAATAGAGCATATATTTATCTATTAACCACTTCAAAACATTTCAAAGGAATGAATTCATACAGAGAAATCCTCTGATCATTGGGGTATTAAGCTAAAAATTAGTTTCAAAATATAACTAGAAAATGTCCAATGTTTGGAAGCTAAACAGAATACTTTTCAATAACCCATAGGTCAATGAAAATGTCTCATTGAAAATAAGGAGCTATTTTTAAGTATGCAGTAATAAAAATATTGCATATAAAAACTTACGAGATAAAACTAAAGATATATTGGAAATAAATTTATAGCCACAAGTACATATGTCAAAAAGAAAGGTTGAATATCAATTATCTAAGTAAAAATATTTTTAATGCTCAATGCAAGAGGATAATAAAAGAATGACTAATTAAACTTATAGAAAGTAGAAAGCAAGAAATAATAAGCAAAAAATTCTGAATTACAAAAAAGTGTATGCAATGGAGGAAATCAACAGAATTAAAACTGATCCTTTATAAAGGCTAATAAAATTGATAAAGAGGGTGTAAGTTACCAATATCAGATGAAAGGGGACCATAACTACAGATTCTGTAGATACTAGGAAGATAATACGATATCGTGAACTACTTTAAATCAACAAAATTTAAAATATAGATGAAATGGACACATTCTTGGAAATATTTACTAAGGTATCTTACCAAAATTGAAACAAGAAGAAATAGACAATCAGAATATAGCTAAGTAGCTGAATCTGTAATTAAAAATTGCTCAACAAGAAAAAGAAAAATACCGGATGGTCTCACTCATAGCAGGAATCTAGAAAACTTAAATAAGGGACCAGGAAAACGAATAACTATAAGAAAGTGAAAATCAAAATCAACAAAAAACTATGAACCAGAGACACTTGTTGGGGGGTGGGGGGCGGGTGGGGAAGGATTGGGGTTAGAATGGGGCATTTGCAATTGTATGGGGGAATATAAAAATAAAATTTAATATTAAAAAAAAAAAATAAAAACTAAAAAAAAAAAAAAAAAAAAAAATTGCTCAACAAACAACCTAGATATCTTCATTGGCGAATCACCCCAAATATTTAAGGAAGAGATAATTACCACTGTATACAAATTCTTCTACTGAATTATAAAAAACAAGGAAGGGGAAGGATTTTCGACTTGATTGATGACAGTATGATTTTGATACAAAAATCTGACAAGAATTCTTAAGAAAGAATAAAGGCCAACCTCAGGGATATGATGTGAATATCTTAAATAAGAGATAAGGAAATTAAACCCAGTGCTATATAAAGAGAACACACAATAATCAAATTAGCCTCAATCCAGGAATTCATAATAGGTTTAACAGTTAAGGCTAGACGTGACATCTATCTCCAAGGCCTGTGGTATTGACTGTGCCACTTGCGGACTCTTATTTCCAGCAGTGGTCTGGTTTCCTTTCTCATTGGACCCAATCAGCAGCCTGGTTTTGGCCATGCCCATTCCTTTGATCAACCAGCCTTCCTAGTGCTTCTAGGAATGTACTTCAAAGGCCATTCAGTTCACATTGGCCAAAGTGGTTTCTGCTCCATATAAGTCTCAGCTGACAAAGGAAGACAAGAGCTGGGCCAATCTGAACCTTTCCTGGTCTGGCTTTTCTGCTGCTTCCAGTTGCCTTTTGAAGTTATAGAAGTAATAAAGGGGAAAATAAGATAAAATCACAGTCTAATTGAGAGGACTCACAAGCCTGGTAGAGGTAGGGTTAAGAGTGGGTGGAAGAGAGAAGATAAGATTGGAATTTGTTCCCACAGAAAAGGTTATGTGTACAGATGAGAGGTCCGGAGAACCACACTTTGGGCCCCTGGCAGGACAAGTGGCCGAGGAGGACTTCAGAGAGCAGGTTATGGTGATGAGCTAAATCTTAGTGAAAGAATTCCAATTTTCCTGGGTAGCTGGAGGAAAAGGGTGTTTCATTTGGGGAAGTGGCATGGACAGAGATGAAGGTTTGAGAAAGCATTGTGCATGGGGCTGTGAATGTTGTAGATAGCTGAAGTGCCAGGATGCAAGATAGCAAGTGGGAGAAGACTTTGGAAAGAGGTCAAGGTCAGGTGATGATCAAACCTTGTTTACTAGTAAGGAGTTTAGATGTTTTCTGGAGCCCAGAAGAAAAGTGTTGATGAGTAGAAAGTGAATGCCACCAACCAGAAATTCTTTTTTTGTTTTTTAAGATTTATTTATTTATGCATACAAGAGCTGGGGTACAGGCCAGAGATGCGCGAGTGGTGGTGGTGGTGGTGGTGGTGGTGAGAGCACTCACCAGAGACAGAGTGGGGAACAGAACAGGCAGATTGACTGAAATCCACTGCTGAGGGGAGTGGCAGGCGAGACAGGAGAGGTCTGCTGTGCCATGTGAGTTGCTCCCTGGCTAACCAGGATGGAACTCGTGCTGCAGAGGCTGCAGATTGCTTCATAGTGCAGTGCTTAACCCCTTGCACCACCAGGGAGCCCCCCAACCAGAAATTCTTAAGGGAGTTTTAGGGTCAAACGGAAGAGCATCTCATTTGATTGGGAAGAAATTTCCTGCAGTTGGAAGATTAAACAAACACCTTTACTTGAAGTTCAGTTTAGTTCCAACACTGCTCCCCACCCCCAGGACTCCTCACAATCTGTTTATGCTTCTTTATTCCAGGTTAAGGTAGAATCTCTCCTATTGCAGATTTGAGTGCTGTCCTCTCCTCTCTCGTCTGACATTAAGGACTAGAGCCCAGCCAGAACTCCAAGACCAGATCTGACATTGCAGATTGAGAGTCCTCAGACCACTCTGCCAGTTTATCTCCACAGGGGAAGCACTTCAGCTGCTCTTCACAGGGCACACTCCCAGGCTTTAATAGCCTAAGGTTAACAAGACTCTTTCCTTGGGCTTTGGGGAATGGAGGAAGCCTGCCCTGGATTGGACCTTGGAGAGAGACCCGGGGAGGCAATGCAACTCACCTTCACATGACTGACTCCTGACCTTCTCTGTCCCCTGTCCCCCCAACCTGGAACAGAGATTGCCATCCTCCATGACACCTTCCTATCACAGCTGCCAGTGCTGGTGAAACCTGAGGCGTTACGGATGTGCTTCCTTTGCAGTGATATTTACCTCCAAATGTGAATGAGGCAGAGGCTGGCCCATGCACGCAGGCAGGTAACTTCATCCTCTCCTCAAAGACCTCAGCATGTGGGCCAAGCCTGCTCCACACCGGGATGCTAAGCCGCCCCTCATTCTAACTGGAGACCCAACCCTGTTCTTAATTAAGTTCTTTCCTCACCGCGGCCAGGTGCGCTCCTCCGCAGGTCAGTGTTAATTCCAGCCGCTGGCGACCGAGCTCCACCCCCCTTTCCGGGAATGTGTGCCCTGGGGCTCAACCCTACCTGAAAAACCACCTCTAGCGCCCCACAGCCCCCCCTGCCATGGACGCAGGAGTTGCTCGTTAGGCTGACGGGAAGCGCCCACACGGGCGAACTCAGCAGGTATTTAAGGACCGAGGAGGGAGTCTCTGATCAGGCAGCGGTGAGAGAGGACAAAGGAGGGAAGAGAAGCGACCGACAGAGGCCACCGAGCATCTTTGCCTGGGAGTCGCCCGGAGAGCTGCCTCCCGCCACAGGTAAGGGCGCAGCGGCGCGCAGCCCGCCTGCCCGCGGGCTCTGATCTCTGATCCAGACCTCGAGGCGCCTTTTGCTTGCCGCGGTCCTCAGTTCTCTGGAAACTTTCTGCACTGGCGCGGAGAGCCGCCCGCAGCTGAGCGGAGCCAGGCAGCCTCTGCCTCCACGCTGCAGGCGGCTCTCCCGGGCTGGTGGCCGCGACTCCCCCGGGGCTCGGGGCTCAGGTGAGGAAACAGGGGTGGGGGGGGTGGCAGTGGAGCTGCTGGGGTCCCCGAGACTCTTACCACCCTCTGGGCAGATCTAGGTCCTTAGGCTCCCTCCTTCTCTGGGTGGTGTCTTTTCTTTAAAGATACTTTACACAAATTAACGTTGGACATGAAGACAGGAGAGAAAAGATTGAAAGACACAATTAATTCCCTGCATTCTAGACTTTCTGGGGCACAGACACCCTTGATTCCTCGTCTCCCGGCCCACCCGACGTGGCCGCCTTGTGATAATGACAAGGGTCTCGGCCCCAAGGCCCAAGTGGTGGTAAAATGAGGTGGGAACTGTCCACGGTCCTGAACCGCTGTGTCTGTGACATCAAGACCTTCACAGAGTGGACCCTCGATCCCTCCGACCCTAGATTGCAGGGCGGGAGCAGGCATTTGAACTCAGAATGGCCAAGGCAAGGAGGGTTTCTGGTGAAAAGTGGAATCTGCAGGGTGTTTGGATCTCCCAAATTCTTTGTGTGTAAAGGGGGAGGTGATGGTTCTCAGAGAATTACTGAAAGGAGCCAAGGAATGTGAAAAGTGTGTTTTTGTCAGCCGTTAAGGTATAGACAGATTGTGACTTATTAAATGACCCAATATTCCTTTGACAACTTTTGTTTTAGGACTTGAAGCATGTGTATTAAGGTGCAAGGGCAAAATTTTACACCTTCGTTCCTCTAATCTTTCCAGAAGGAAATGAACAAGTGTGCAATTTTAGGGTAACAAACAAAATGTTTTGTTTAGCTCATAGAGAACACTATGAGGTTCTAATAAGTGTAGTTTTATTATAAAGTTAACATCACGATTAACGAATTAAAAATTTCTGGTTATTTTTCTAAGACTTTCAATTACTAATTGTATCACTCTGACTACTCACAAAAAGCCCAATACTTGACATCTCTCCACTACTTGATTACTTTTCAAAAAATGGCACAGGTCATATTTATTCATTGCAGAAAATACAAACAAAAAGAATTTGCTTTCTGGAAATCAACTTTTTAGCTCTGGAATGGAGCTCTGAGGGATGGGGAATGAGCATGTTACATGTTGTGTCATACAGCCAATGGGTAGAGGAGAGAAAATGCTCTCTGAAATTTTCCAGGAAAGCCAAAATTATAGGGTAGGTGGCTACAAAATGTTTAGAATCTCCAGAAAGACCAACTTTGAGGAGAATTGAAATATAGTTGGTGGAACTGTCAGACCTTTATGGTTTTACTTCTGTTATTTTACACTTGCCCATAGTGATATGTAACACTCCTATCCCTGCCTTCATTATAAATCCAGGCATTTTTCTGACCTAAATGTGCTGTGTGGTCTCAGAAAATTAATCTTTTTTTTAATTTTATTTTTTTAATAATAAATTTTATTTTTATATTCCCAATACAATTGCAACCCCCTTATTTTGACCCAATCCCTCCCCTCCCACCCCCTACCCCCCATAGAGTGTCTCTGGTTCATAGTTTTTTGTTGATTTTGATTTTCACTTTCTTATAGTTATTCATTTTCAGAAAATTAATCTTAATGGCTTTGTCCAACAAGTTCAGGCTTTGTACTTCGGAACATCAAAAGGTTACGAGAGTAGCCTGTCCCCAATCAAGACTCCAAGCCCGGGATACTGATGGGCCAGCTCACTGGCCGCCAGCGCCATCTAATGTCTGTTCTGAAAACACTCAGGCAGGATCCGGCAACCTTTCAGAAGGGAGTCCTTGGCTGGCTCAGCTTTGGGGGAAAGGGGTGAGGGGGTGGCAGAAAGAAGGAAGCAGCTTCCTGAAGTCCACAGGGAGAGCAAGGCAAAGCTTTCACTTCCAAAATCTGCCTTATAAGAATGAGTTGGTCCATGCTGCCACACATAAAAGATTTCTTTTAGGCAAACTTATTTGAATAGGCAAATGTTGATCAGGAGAGATAATGTGAATGACTTTTCTCATTTAATTAGACTTCTTCCAAACAGCTGGTTGAGATCTTCTGCAATCCAAACTGAGTGTGGGGTCGGTGGTGAGCAAGGGCGGACAGGGTAGGGTGAGAGCTAGACGGCTGGGGAATGGTTGGTCAGAGTGGAAAAGGCACCCCTCGTCAATGCATTGTTGCCTCGAGCTCAGCATCTGCTGGGAGGTACCGCCTGACTTCTCCAAAAGTTTTTGGTAGGTGTTCGCTGGAGGTCGATCCTTTTGCTGTCCATCTCCTGTCCCCTTCTGCACAGACAGCATCTTCACATCCAGCCCTATCAGACTACATTTGAGAGACGTAGAGAGTAAGAGGGCTGACGTGTAATGTGTTCAGAAAGTGAGCTGGCTTTAAAACAATGGGGGGCTGCTTTAAAAACAAACACCCCCAGGGGTCTGGGAAATAGCGATCACCTGAGCAATTTGTATACAGGACATTAAATTGGGTTAACGGAGATTTTGGCTAAATTGAGCAGAGGTTTTATTTGCCTTTATGCAAACCTACTATTAAAGGAAATGTGAGCTTCTGAGAAGTGATAGATCCTGGTGGAGGAAGAAAAGGGAGGATGTCATTGAGCGGGAATTTCAGAGTCCTTTGTCCTTCCCAAGTTACTCCTTGGATCTGGAGTATTAGAATTATAGCTTCATGAAGGTGGTGTGATAGGAAAGCTCTGTGCTGGAAACAGAATTTGCCCTTACCTTGTCATGAACACCCAAGTTATTGTCTCTCTCTGGGTCTCAGTTTCCCCATCTTTTAAGCACAGGGCTGGACCAGATGATTCTTAAAATAGCTTCCAGTTCTAACCTCCTTTAGGATCTGACTTTAACAAGACATAAAGGAAAAATTGTGTGCATCTCACCCTGGCCCCACTCCCTACCACCCCTCTACTACTACTCACACCATCACCAAAACACCAACCTTCTCCTTGAACTGCTCCTGTCCTCAAAAAGCCCTGAGCTCCACAGGCGACTGCGTTGTTAATGTTGGCTTGAGGTTCTTCCTGGTCAGTGGCCAACATTGTTCTGCTCCTTGCAGGGGTCCCACCAATCTTGTTTCCCTCTGCAGAGCCTCTGCCCGCCTGGAAGATGCTGAGATCATGCTGCAGCCGCTCAGGGGCCCTGCTGCTGGTCTTGCTGCTTCAGGCCTCCATGGAAGTGCGTGGCTGGTGCCTGGAGAACAACGAGTGTCAGGACCTCACCATGGAAAGTAACCTGCTGGTACGTGGACCATAGCTGCCATCTTGGTTTGGGCATCAGATAGCACTGGGGTTGGGGCTGGGACAGTGCAAAAGAAGGGGGGGGTGGGGAAAGGCAAATTCACTCAATGCAGGGCAGGAGCAGACTTCTAGAGGGGAGTCAGAATTGGGTCAAGGAGGGGAGGAAGTAGATGGGCCTGGTCCACAATTTCTTCTTGATTATCTTTACTTCCTGCCCTGTCTTCTTGTATGGAGATCCCATTCCAGTCGAGCTATTTCAAGATAGTGCCATTCAATAATAATAACCATTCTAATAATAGTAATAATAATTGCTCTCTCAACGGATGCTACATTTTCATTTTCAATCTCTTAGCCCTTAAGTTATTCATTTTTAAATAACCTCCTATCTCTTATCACTTGTTATTTTCACTCCTTTTTTTCTTCCCTTTCTATCTGCTACCAGTTACAAATCCAGCTAGGTAGTACCACAAGTCATCTCTAGAGGGAGAAGGAAAATCCCAGAGCCATTTTCCTCTCACTGGTGGCAGATGTCTCCCGCTTCTTCAGGAAGACTGACCTTCTGCAGCCTGTCCTGCATGTAAAGGCCCTTGTGCCAGGCTCCCTCCAGGTCATCCCAGTGTGTAGGGGTGTGTGTATCTGTATTGGGAGGCATAGATGAGAAGTGATATCAAGTCCAAGGACTAAAAGACACTGCCGGTGTCAGTGATAGATTCCACTGTGCTGCCAGCACCTGCCAGGCGAGAGCGGAATGCTGTGCTTGTCACTCTATTTTGTGCTTGTCAACAGCGTTAAGGTGAAAGGGGAGTCTCTCAATAACACAAGAGCATTTTATATTCATGTGGAATATAAAATAAAAAGAAAGAGCCCAGGAATTCCTTGAATTCGGAGAGACTCAAGAGACTGTTGCGTGGGGACATCCACCGCACAACTCTCCTGTGGACGGCTTGCCAGGGAGGGCGCCCTGGCCATGGCCAGAGCCCATGAATTCCAGTTCTGGATCTGTCACCAGTGAGCTGCGGAAACTTGCCAAAGCCCTCTTTTACTCTCTGGGCTGCCTGTCTCATTATGTATTCGGGGAATGAAATTTAAATGAGATAGTTCTTATTTTCCACTATTTACATTCTGCAGTAATTCTAAATCCCTGGGGTTTCAACTCAACAAAGTGGGTGGGATCCTTCTGTTTCTTACGTGCATCCTGAGTCACTGAAGGCTGCAGACCGCAGGTCATCTTCCTAAGCAAGAGTGTTTTACGGTTGAATCGTGGAGACAGAGAACACAGAACAGGTCCTGAGACCCGCACAGTGGAAATGACCTTGGCTTTCTACCCTTCCTCCCAGGGAGAGAGGTGACAGGGAAGCAAGCCACCCGCTCCCAAAACTCACTGATTGGGAAAAGTAGAGAGGCCCTCAGAAGGCAGGAAAGAACAAAGGAAGGTGCAAACTGGGGGTGGGAGTTTTGAGGGCTGTAAACAGGGACAAGGCTGGGGCAGGGCATGAGGTTGCTCTGCTGACCACTGGGGCAAGATTGAGGCGTTATTGAAAGCACAGTCTCCAGAAGTCGCACTTACACATCTACCTAGAGAGAGTTTCCCCCGAGTTTCAGTCCAGTGCCCCGCCCCCCGCCCCCGCCAGACCTGAATTGAACCATGGTTACTCAATCTTCATCAAGTGCCAACAAACACCACCCACCTGGCGTTTATTGACTAATTCCTCTGCATCAGCTATTGCATTGCGAGAGGCGTTGTCCGCCTTGCTTACAAAGGCTATGGGGTCAAGCAAACGGCAGAGTGGGATGAGGTGTTCGGTGCAGCTACCAGGCAGAGGCAGTCAAAGGACAGAGGGGAGAAGAGAGGCGAGGCCCAGGCTGAGCGTGAGATGCCCGTGGGTGCCACGAGGACGGTGGGCAGACGTCCCAGGCGGGGGCCCTTCACCCTGAGGCCTTGAGGGCTCGGGGAGCGCGGGAAGCCAGGCCCAGGGATGGGTGGGGCGGCGGCCCAGGGGGGCCCTCACGCTCCCCACTCTCCCACCAGGCGTGCCTGCAGGCCTGCCAGCGCGAACTCCGGGCCAGCATGCTCGTGTCCCCAGGCGACGAGCACCTGCTGACCGACGACCGCCAGAAGTACGACGCGGGCCAGCAGCACGTCGAGGAGGTCGGGGCGAACATCGGCCTCCTGGGGCCCCAAGGTGAAGGCACCGAGCCCGGCCAGGCCGGCCACCTCACGGGCAAGCGCTCCTACTCCATGGAGCACTTCCGCTGGGGCAAGCCGGTGGGCAAGAAGCGGCGCCCCGTGAAGGTGTACCCCAATGGCAGCGAGGACAGGTTGCCCGCAGCCCTCCCGGTGGAGTTCAAGAGGGCGCTGGCAGACGAGCGCCCCGACGGCCTGGCAGAGAGCGTGGAAGACCTGGAGGATGGCCCGGAGGGGGACACCCAGAAGGCGGAGAAGAAGAACAATGGGCGCTACAAGATGGAGCATTTCCGCTGGGGCAGGCCGCCCAAGAGCAAGCGCCACGAGGGCTTCATGACCGAGAAGATGCAGAGCCTGGACCAGGTGTACCTCGATGGCACTGACGACGAGACAGGGGAGGGCCCCGAGGGCCTAGAAGAGAGCGTGGCCGACCTGGAGGACGGCCTGGTGGGGGACACCCAGGAGGCGGACAAGAAGAAGAAGGGGCGCTACAAGATGGAGCATTTCCGCTGGGGCAGGCCGCCCAAGAGCAAGAGCAAGCGCTATGGTGGCTTCATGACCGAGAAGAGCCAGACGCCCCTCATGACGCTGTTCAAAAACGCCATCATCAAGAACACCCAAGAGAAGGGCCAGTGAGGGGCAGCCGGCCCAGGGGCTTCTCTCCCTGGGAGTCCACCAGAAGGCCCCTCTCCTGTCTCCAGGCCGCCTCCAGGCCCAGGTGATTTGCTCGCCTGGGAGGGAGGCCTGGCAGACCATCAGCCTCTCAAAGCTGTAGTTAGGAAATAAAAGCTTTTATGTTTCATTCACAGCTGACTCTGACTTTGAATGTTGATGTGGAGAATAACAATACATATCCACCAAGTGAAGAGTAGCCTATGTTGGAGGAGAGACATGTTTTCCATGAGACCAAGGGGTAGGCTTAGTAGAAATGGACAGAAAATGTACTCTTATTTCCTCCCCCATGGGTCTTCAATGCTCCAAGTAGTTTGGGTGAATGACTCAGGGTGGCTGCATTTCCCTCCCCTCTATCGAGGGGGGAAAGATTCTTTAATTAGCAGCTACACCAAAAGACAGGATTCCTAGGAGGGACCACAGGGGCTCAGGGTCACGCCTGACTCGCGTTCACCTCTGAGAGTCAGTCTGATGTTGGCTGAAGCTGCCCCTGACTGGAAAGGACCAGGTGGGAAGCAGTGTGACCTGAAACAAGCCTCTGAACTCCAGGATTTATTTCTCTTACCCACCCGTAGTGTGAGAGCTGTTAAGGGGACTGACTAAATGGATGTGATGGATGTTTATCCCTGAGAAGCCAAGCGTGACAGTGGAGGGGCGTGTCCACATTCCCAGGAAACTCTCAAATATTCTCAAACACATGGTCTCACACCCCCCCCGCCCCCCCCCACCAATGGCTCCGCCCCAGCGCACCATGGAGTCACATCTGCATAAATACAGCATAGTATACATAGTACTTCCAGTTCCTTGGGCTCAAGCCTGGAGCTCCTCTGACCATCTTTTCCCTCTTGCGATGCCCAAACTCTCTTTCCCATGTTGCTGGCCTCAGTGCTTCTCTTCATTGCGTGCGCCTGACTCAGCCTGACTCTCGTACAGCTTCCTAATCACTGGTCTTGTCTCCAGTTGCTCTCCTCCCTAACCTGTCAGATATAAATTCTTCATATTAACTGATATACAACGTTCTCTGGTTCAAAGAGCCAAAAAAGTCAGCTCCTCCCAATTTTCTATCAATTCCAAACTACTAGGGCATTTAGGGTTCTTGTCAATCAGGTTCTCTCCCCGGACCACACCGCATTTCCTGTTTTCGCACCTACTGGGCTGCTCAGAGTCTCTCCCCTCCTCCCTCACACTGGGCCTAGAATCCAACCTCCTCCATTTTTTTTTTTTTTAAATAATAAATTTTATTTTTATATTCCCCCATACAACTGCACATGCCCCATTCTGACCCCAATCCCTCCCCTCCCGGCCCCCACCCCCCAAAAAGTGTCTCTGGTTCATAGTTTTTTGTTGATTTTGATTTTCACTTTCTTATATTCATTTTCCTGATCCCTTATTTAAGTTTTCTAGATTCCTGCTATGAGTGAGACCATCCGGAATTTTTCTTTTTCTTTCTGGCTTATTTCGCTGAGCATGATCCCTTCCAGCGCCATCCATGTTGCTGCAAATTGCATGTGTTTATCTTTTTTGAATGCTGAGTAATATTCCATGGTATATATGTGCCACATCTTCTTGATCCAGTCATCTATTTTTGGGCATTTGGGCTGTTTCCAAAGCTTAGCTATTGTAAACAGTGCTGCTATAAACATAGGGGTGCAGGTGCCCTTTGGAATTAATTTTTCTGTGTTATTTGAATGTCATCCTTTTTTCAACTTGAGCCAGGCTCAGACACCTGCTGTCTGGCTCAGACGCCACATCTCTTGCTGTCCATGTGTCCTGTGCTCTCCTTTCAGGGAATCGCTGAGCGTCCCAAGGCCAGGTCTCTGTTTCTTTTTGTCCCCGTGATGTTTTCACATCAGGGCCCTGGGTTTGCAGCCACACACATTTGCCATTTACAAGACTCACAGACATGGACACGCACACAGAGGCACACATCCGTGTCAATGGCATTGCAACAGGGTGGTCCCCAGGAAAGGGGGAGGTTCCCTGCCCCACCCAAGGGAGGGTGGAGCTGAGCAGGGAGAGAAGAAGCTGCAGAAGAGACTGAGGAAGGAGCAGGATGGAGCCAGGAGACCTGGAGGAGGTGCATGGAGCCTAGAGACACGTGAAGAAGCTGCGCTTGTCTTTTGGTCGTGGACTGGGTGACACAGATGTGGGTGAGACCCGTGGGGAGGTGACCATGGCAGCTTTTATCTTGATGTTGATTTTGCTCTTTTTCTTCCGGGCTTGTCCAGTTGTTTGTGACCCTTTTCTGTGGGTCCCCACTGGAAGATGCTTTAGACTTGTGGCAGGCTTTGGGGCCTTGCTCTGGGCCAATCCCATATGGATGGACTTTTACCCACGAGGGGATGGGTAACTTTAGGTGCTTCATTTAGAAACTAGACTCTTTGCCTTACCTGTATTGTTTCCTAGTTTTATTAAAGTTCCTTCCCATTAAAGTCTCCTATGTTTTGTGTTGATGCAGCGGATGGCAAAACCCATTTAGAATAGGCAGGTTTGCGGGGCTTGGGCTGCCCCTCTCCCTGTCCTATAACAGCATTACACACAGCAGTGGCCAGGTCAGAGGAAAGCTGGCTGGGAAACATTTGTGTACATGTGTATGTATATGGCACATACCCCATATTTTGATGCCCTAATTTATAATGGAAACTGGAATGTACCCTGGGATGTAAGGCCTGATGTAAGGGGAATCAGAGAGCCAGATTCCGAAGACAAAGTCTCCCCCGATGTGGCTTATATAAAATGGAGCTGGATTCTAGTAACTATAATGGAGAAGTGGTCCCCGCTTCCCCACCTGAGGATGCACCCAAGCTGGGAACCCTGGACTCATGCTTACATCCTGACAGCAGCCTTTCCTTTTGAGGCAAGTAAAGTAATGGTAGATGGGGGTGGCTAAATGTCAGTGGTTAATGCTGGTATTTTCACATCCTGTTTGCATCTCAAAAAACCATTTATGTTAAAGAAATCAAACAGACAACCATGTGGAGACAACATTAACATTTATTTGAAAAGGGCATCACGAAGGCTCATTGGGAAACCACCACTAATAGTCCCAAAATGATCTTGCTATGAGTCCGGCTTCCCACAGTCCCCCACCCCCACTCCTCTTTCCCCTGCCTTAAAACTAATATGATTCAATGAGTTTAAAATACAGAAAACTGCCACAGGCACTAATTCTGCACTCACATATAAATACGTCAGCTACTATATACATGTCTCGTCAACTGTGAACTACGTGACACTCACAGGCACGCACATGGGCACGCACACGCTCAGCCAGGTCAGGAAGGTCAAATGGACAGAGACTCTTCACAATGAATGGGCTGCAGCATTTGTGAACTTACAACTCTGCACTCCATGAGCTGGAATCTACAGTCATGGAGGCAGAGCTCAAAAGAGGAGGTGACAGGCTGAGGCCCCAAGAACCCTGGAAAAGACCTGGCTGACCTGGCATAAGCAACTGCTTTCTGGTCCCAAGAGGGCCCCGGAGCCCCTCCCACAGTCCCTGTCTTCCACCCCCCCTGCCCTGGTTGGCTGGGCCCCTCCCCCCATGACCATTCTCTACAGTCCTCAGACCTTGGCTGGGTTCGGGATAAGGAGCACTTTAACCAGAAGGGTGAGGGGATGAACAAGCAAATACTGCCCAGTTCCATCTCCACCTGCCTGCCAGGTTCTATGGGTCTGAAGAATCAGAGGCGGCCTGCCACACAAGCCCTTCTCCCTGATACTCAGCCTAACAGCTCAGGTCTAGTCCTTTCCCACAGATGCCCTGCTGACCAGCCGCCATTTGGTCATGAGGAAGAATTGGGGGCAGTAGCCTCACTTCTCAACCACCTCTCTGTACTCAAGCCAGAAGGCCTGGGGACAACGGAAAAGCAACGCAAGGTATTGTGACCCGGGGGCCCCCGGGTAATTCCCAAGGTTGTTCTGACTCAGGTCAGATCAGATGTGTTTGGTGAGACCCGAACACCCAGGGTAAAGGGCTCATGTACACAACCCGTGATTCTTCACGCTCCCTGGCTGGCCCAAGGGCCCACCTTTCCGCGGCTCATCCCTTTACACCTGTTTATCAGGCGGAGGACTGGACAGTGGGTACCTGAGGACTTTCCTAGCTTTACTTCTGGCCTGTTTGGATTCCTTCTCTGGTGGGGAGGCATCTAGGAGTCAAGAAACCACTGATTTCTACTTTCAGAGAGGAAAATGGGGGGAGGCACTGGACACTGGAGACCCGCTGCAAGGAAAACAGGAGCCTCCAGGCGCATGTGGGTGCTTCCTGCGGACCACTTCTTACACACGTACGACTCTACCAAACTAGCAAAACGTCTCACTTATGTTCAGGTTCTTTAAGTACCGTCAGCAGAATGCTAACCAGCCCTCCCCTTTGCCCACAAAGCGAGAGTCCTTGGTGGCTTTGGGGAGCAGCTGGTTTGGATGGAATTGCTGGCTCAAAATCAACATAAGGAGTAGGAGCAAAAAAAGGACAGGTCCGCCACACAGCGCCGCCAGACTCCACAGGGCTTGAAGCTAACCGAAGGCCCGGGCACCTGCCAACGCTTCTTTGCCTCGCTCCCGGGCTTCGTGCTGGGGTGGAGATGGCTTAATTGACCAGTTAACTTCTGTTTACATTCACACTCACTTTACACTTTCTGGGACTGAGGCATGACTGACCAGAATCCAGGTGCTGTTCCAGAGCAGCAACCTAATATTCTACGAACTTGAAACTGAGAAGGCACACAAACGGCCAGTTCTCCGAAAGAAGCACACATTTGCTAAGCAGCGGTGATCAGAAGGACAAGCTGCTTCGGCTGAGTGTCTGAAGAACAGGAAGCCCGGAACCCTTTGCTGCACTCTGTTGCCAGGGTGGGGAGGAGGGAGTCAGCTAAGCGAACCTGCAGGTCCTGCTGGCTTGAGAAAGAGGCTTCAGGGTGATGATCTCCAGGGTCCAAGGACAAAGCTCAGGGTGAGATGTCAGGAGCAGAACCCCCACATTCAAGTAGGCATAAAACCAAACAGTGTTTCCGTGAGCGCCGAGCTGGGGCTAAAGAAGGAAGATCTAGTGCAGAAAGACATGTTTGTGGCTCCGAGATTGAGATAGTCTTTAAAGGTTCTGCCAAAGATTATGTGCCTTCAAGTTTGTTTCAAGTTATTTTAAACTTGGTTTCTTGCTAAAGAGATTAAAATAAGGAGAAATCTAAGTCCATGCTTACAGTTGGGTTGTGCATAAGCCAAAGCCACAGGGCAGAGTCAAAAGCTGGTGGAGAGAGCAAGAGCTGGCCCTCTAGGGCCCTGTAGTCATGCAGGCCTTCTGGAAGCTGAGGGCCCACAGCCCAGAGGCAGCAACCAATGACCAACGGTGGGAACTACAGGAAGGGGGTTCAGATAGTCCCCTCACCCAAGAAATGTATTGCATGAGAAATTTAGCGGGAAACGTAGTATGTTAAGTGTCTCCCAACTTGGGAAACGTGTCTGTCCCGATAACCAGGCTCTCACTGTGCCTCTGTGTGGGGGCTTGACCGAGTGTAGCCGAGAAGCCTGCCCACCCTTTAGCACAAACAGGCTGCTTCCCGCCCTGTACCACTCTGACTAAAGGGGGCTTTTGGGCCCCTTTCTACTTACTCTCCCTCTCTTTAAAAAGCACATTCTTCAGGGAGGAATCATTTGACCATTCACACCTTACTGCGAATTACATCAGCTCTGAAAAGTCATGGGAACTTCAGGAGAGGAGAAATGGGCTATTGTGGCACACAGACAACGCCTGGGGGAGGCCAGGGAGGCCCGGGGACAAGGGCCCCAGAGGTGGCTGTGGAGGCACGGAGGCCCCTGGGTGAGAAGGGGAAGCCAAGAGAGGGCAGCTCCCCCTCCGCAGAGAGGCCCTCAGGAAAAAGGAACTCAGAACCCAAAGTCACCTCCACAACCTCTCCCTGGGCCTCAAGCTTTGCCTTTTGGCATCGATGTCCATACTTGGACCAAAGAGTGAAGAAATCACTCCAACATTCGGTGCAGAATCTTTCCTTCCTCAAATGAAACATCCTAAAGGTTGTTTTGTCAAATGACAAAGTGCCCCTTTGTCACAGGGTGTCCCTCCCTCAGCCCCAGCCCCCTGGCCCAGCCAGGTTGGGGCCTCTTCCTAGGAGGTGATGTGGGGCAGGCCTGGGGCCACTGCGGTGCCTCCTCATTTTGAGGGGTCTAGAGCTAGATGACCTTGTTCTGCCCTCCCTCAACCCAGAGGCTGTAGAAACATGTGGGCACCCTCAGGTGAAAGGCATCTAAGAGAGAACACAACTCAGGAAAATCCAGAGGAGGGGCCACAGGTGGGCGAGCAAGCTTCCTCTGACCACAGCCAGTGAGAAGACGCTACAGGACTCGCCCACCTGTGCCTGCCGCTTTGGGCAGGAGGTGAGGCCCGCAGCCCAGACCCCTGCTGCCGGCCTGGGGAGAAGCGGCACCTCCAGCAGTCCGTACCCTTCGTTTCTCTCTTTGCTGCCTCCCTCTCCCTGCCCCAGGGTCTCTACCCTAGTTCCAGTTTTAACATTAATTAATAATAGAAAGACACATGAAGAGTCACCTGGCAAGGTGAGCAGAAGAGTGGAGGAGGCTGAGGGCCCTCGAATGGGGGAGGGGTGGCCGGCCATCTTGCAGCTCTTACGAGACCAGCGGCTTCCCTTCCTTCAGGCTCAGTCGATGGCAGACGGTGCCTCCACCCAGCCCCCTCGCAGGGGAAGGACATCTGGGCCCCTCAGACCCGCTCCACGAAAGTCCTTCACTCGCAGCATAAAGCAGGAGCACCTCAGGACCTCTGCCTCTCTCCTGAGACCCCCGTCCCCCATGTTTCTCAGCCCCTGGCTGACGCAATGGAGGAGACAAAGGTTCAGGTGAGATGCTTATTTGCCCCGAGGGGCAGGTAGCCGACCTCCCTTGGGGGAGACAGGGAGGAAGCAGAGGGCAGAGATTCCACCTTGCTCAAGTGGGGGGGCAGAGAGGGGGTGCTGTCATTCAAGGTGGCCTCTTCTCTGAAGTCCCAGTTAGATTTCCATGTTGGAAGGGCAGACGAGGGCAAGCCCGTCCCTCAGGCCCACCCTGTGAGGAGCTCCATCTCTCGGGATTCAGTACACACACAGGTCCGGAAACTTCATCTCGTAGACCGGGATGGAGTGGTTCTGAGGCTGGCCGTAGGCTGCCGTGATGGTCCCCGATGGGCTTGGGGGCGGGCTGGGGCAGGAATACAGGGGAGAAAAGCATGAGGAGGGGTTCTGCAGTTCTGCCCCCGGCATCTAAACGGGGCAGCAAACATGGGTTTCTCCTTGAACAGCAACTTTGTGACTCCATGGGTTCCTAGCTTTAAGTTGTTCTAGAACCTATGGCTTAAAGTCAAGCTTCTCTGTAGACTCTACAGTGATGTTGCTGCTTTAGAAAGCAGAGTTCCAGCCTGGCTGTTCACTGGGCTTCACGGAGCTGTCTCCTGCCCTGTCTAGTCTCTATTTCCTTGTCTGGGAGAGCTGGGGGTTGACCCCAGCCTGGATACAGGGGCTGGCAGAGGGAGGGTAAAGACTGGTACATGAGGAGGACTCGGAAGACGGGTCCCAACACTGGGCTACAGAGGTAGAGGTTCCCGGCCCAGGGTGGCCACTTACCGGATGGTGATTTCAAAGATCTGGTTGAGTTTGCTCTGCAGCAGTGACGCCTAGACACAAACAGAGGGAATGTGAGGCAGGGGCCCCTGCACCTCTGCAGCTGACACAGCAGCCCATCTGTCTGGGGTGCAGCTGGCAGGTGGGGAAGCTGCAGCCTTAGGAAGGGACCATGTGATCTTGCTTCCAGCACTTACTGCTGGGTGCAGAGTCAGGAGGCTCAGGGCTGGTTCTAGCTCTTTCCTCAGCTCACAAGGAGTGGCTGTGCAAAACTGGTGCTTTAGGGAAAATGCTCGCTCTGGTTCAAGTAAGTCTACATACCAGAGTGTGAGGTTGTGCCTGCGTTCGGGAGCTGGGCTTGAATTCAGGCTCATGAAATAAGCAGCATCTATGTCTCAAGATGCCACCAAGAGGTTGGGATCACAGAGGGCCAGAAAAATTTGTGTTATACCTACCCATCTTATATTTATATTAATGCCTATGTGTGTACGTATAATCTGCATACACATAGATAATATATAATATAGCTATAAACTTATATATGAATATGTATATTTCAAATACATATGATAAATATAGGCTATCATTTATATGTCATATGTTAGAAACATGCTCAAGAAAACTACATGTATTTATTGAGGGAAAATACAATAAAATATAAGCTATTTGTAGACTGTGGATGATGACAAGTCTGTTTCATCGTTACTAAGATGAAACTGTGGCATATAAATCCTGGCTTATCATTAATTTCAAGAAATGTCTGTGCGTCGTCCTTAAGCAGAGACAATAGCCTTTCTGGCTGCCTTGTCTTTCAAATCTCTTTCCCAGGGTGGGCAGTTCCATGCCTCTTGCCAGGGCCCTCGGCCGGAAAGAGCCTCGCTGCCAACATGGCCACCTGCCCCCTGCCGTGGCTCCGCCCCTCGCTCCATCTTCCCTCCTTCATGGCTCCTCCCTCTCACTCCACCTTCCCTTTTCATGGCTCTTCCCCCTCACTCCATCTTCCCTCCTGCGTGGCTCTGCTGCCTCGCTCTGTAACAGGGGGGTCCCCAGGAAAGGGGGAGGTTCCAGGTTCCCTGCCCCACCCAAATGGAGGGTGGAGCTGAGCAGGGAGAGAAGAAGCTGCAGAGGAGACTGAGGGAGGGAGGAAGCAGGATGGAGACAGAAGGAGACCTGGAGGAGGCACATAGGGCCAAGAGACATGTGAAGAAACTGCCTTTTAGTCGTGGACGGGGTGACACAGATGTGGGTGAGAGACCCGTGTGGAGGTGCCAATGGTGGCTTTTTTCTTGATTTTGCTCTTTTCCTTCCAGGCTTGTCTGGTTGTTTCTGATCCTTTTCTGTGGGTCCCCACTGGAAGGTGCTTTAGACGTGTGGCAGGCTTTGGGGCCTTGCTCTGGGCCAATCCCATTTGGGTGGACTTTTACCCCCGAGGGGACGGGTAACTTTGGGTGCTTGATTTAGAAACTAGATTCTTTGCCTTTCCTGTATTGTTTCCTAATTGTGTTAAAGTTCCTTCCCATTGAAGTCTCATATGTTTTGTGTTGATGCAGCGGATGGCAGAACCCATTTAGAATAGGCAGGTTTGTGGGGTTTGGGCTGCCCCTCTCCCTGCCCTGCAACAGCTCCATCATCCCTCTTTGTGGCTCCGCCCCCTCGCTCCATCTTCCCTCTTCATGGCCCCTTCCCCTTGCTCCATCTCCCCCCTGCTCCATCTCCCCCCTGCCGTGGCTCCCTAATGTGCGGATCCTAAAGGCACAAGCCTCAGAGAGGTGAGCCAACAAACGGGAGTGCGTGGTGCGCAGTAAGCGGCACTTACACACTCGCTACTAGGATTGCGATGATTTAAACCCAGCTGTTCGATAGGAGCCCCTGAGGCCAGGCCCTCCTCTTTATGTGAAAATTGTGAGGTCTGGGGCAGAGTGTGACTGATGCTCGAGGTTACGGGTTCCTGGGAAAGCACTGTGTGGTAGGAATCCAATCCTTTGTAGGGGGCAAAAGTGCCAAGATCTCCTAGCGTCGGTCCTGCCTGGAGCCCAAATCAGCGTCCACGTGGCCCACGGGCCGGCCCCTCAGCCTCACTCACCCGGGCTCCGCAGTGCGCCGCGATCTCCTCAAAGGGCGCCTTCTGGAACTTTTCCACCACCTGCCGCCGCCGCTCACGCTCCTGTTCCTCGACCGCCACGCTGTCCACTGCAGCACAGAAAGGCGGGTCAGGCCCCAGCTTCCCCTCTGCTGATGGGGGCAGCGGCCGGAGAAGCCCGGAAGATGGGAGGACTCCTCCGGGAGCACTGCCCTTGCTGCGGCTCAGGTCCTCCCTGCAGGCGAGCAGGGCAGGGGGCACTGGGAGCAGAACCTACACTCGGCCCCCAGGGCAAGGCATCTCCCTGACTCTGCCTGGGTTGTGTAAGAATGTCAGGACTAGGTAAGAGACCCTTACGCTGGGCTCTGAAAGCCCCAGCAGCTGCCCTGCCAGCGGGACCTTTCCATGAGTGTTCTGCGGACAAGACGTCCTTTGGGGATCATTTAAAGGGACACTGGCAATGGAAAGGCACAGAGGCCGCAAAGCCAACCCAGAAGAACCCTATGGTGGAGCAGTCTGAGGCCATTTAGGCGTGTCCACATTCCTCCTGGCTCCAAAGTCAGCGTGTTCCTCTTGCTCCACTGAAGGCGGCAGCGCCCCGTGCATGCTCAGGAAGACGACACTGGTGCCAGCAAAAAGGAGAAAGGTTTGGCATTTGAAGCACATCTGTCATCGGTCATCGGGAAAGTTCTCCCACTGGGAATACTTCCCCGCCTGGCAATGCAGACAGGCGGAGGGAACCGCGCCGAGGACTCTGTCACCATCACTGAACACACGTGAGCACACTTCCTTCTGAGTAGCTCACCCCGGTCAGCTTGTTTTTGTATCCCATTCCTCCGAAAGATAGCCCAAGTGTTTGTAGAAAACTGCTTGCTACCCTCAGTGTAGAGGCAGCTGTCATGGCAGAAAAGGGCGACCTGCCAGAGGGCACGTCAGGCCACAGCCGCGTTGGGGGGAAGGATTTTGAGTGGCTGGTTTGGTGGCAGGGACATGTTCACAGGAGGCCTCCAGCCTCTCCCCTCACGTCTGTGCTCAGTCCCTCCTGCAGGCCTGGATGGGGCTGCACACGCTCACATGCACCCCAGCACCACCCTGCCCTCCTCATCCCCGGAGCCCAGGGCCGCCCACTCACCGATGGCCTTCTTCAGCGTCTCGTAGGTGATCTCCTCGGCGGGCACTCTCTGAGGGGCAGGGGACAGAAATGCTCAGAAGGGTGGAGTGGGGAGGCCGGGAGGGCGCAGCCTTGACTTGCTCAGTCACCTGGAAGCCCCTTGGCTTCTCAGAAGGCTGTGATGGGGGGACGCCCTCAGGACACCCGCATTCTCACCAGGGACTGCTGAAGCCCCCCGGGCAGCACAGAGCCACCAGCTGAGGGGAGGCTAATTGCTCATCAGAGTCAAGAACTTTCACTGCCCCCCACCCCCTGCAGCTTGTCCTGTCACATGCTGTGGGAGGAAAGCAAGCATCATAATTCAAAAAATGTCCAGAAAACATAACAGAAAATGTCGGACACAAGAGGAGGCAGTTGCCAAATATAATCTCAAATGTCACTTTCAAGAACTGAATAATGTTTTTGAAGACTTCTAATACTCCGGTATCCACCCAGGGGATTGAATAGTTAATACAGTAAGACACGCTGAGGTTGGTTCAAGGACTGGGCCGCAGGATCTCAGGCCTCTGCAGAGGCCATTACAGGAGGTGAAGATAAAACCCAAAGCAGGGTACCCCACGGGTGCGGTCTCAGGTCAGATGCTGGGAACAGTGAAGGAGCCAGACTAATTCCAGGAATTTTCCACTAGCCACTGAGCTGAGGTAAGGCTTGGGGCTGACTCACACCCTGTCACTTAAATGCAATGTTCAGTGAAAGAAGCAGACATAGGAGAGAATGACTCCATTCATGTCAAGGGCCAGCAGTGTCGTAAGTCAGGCCGGTGGCTCCCTTTGGGAAAGAGGAGGGCAGGGTGGGGGCTCCTGGGCAGTGACTGTGCTGTCCTCCCCAAGCTGGGGGTGAGTACACTCCTTTTGTGAAAATGCACTGAGCTGTACTTGCTGTGCTTTGGCCGGCATGTGATGTATGAGTAGGAAAGGACAGAGGTGCAGATGTGGAATAAAGCCGTTCAACAAACACTAAGCGAGCACCAGCTACGTGCAAGATGTCATCATTTAGGGGAGATCGCACAACGTGGCAGCGCGGGAGTCACACACAAGAGAGAACTGTGCTGGGCTGTCAGTCACCCTGAGCATGCATCTTCGCCAGCCCCGGGCCGCACCATCAGATTTCCGGTGCAAGGCACAAGGGAACCACGTGGTGGCGACAGGAAAGATCACCAGGCAAGGGCAGATAGAGGGGGGCTTGTGGAGGAACGGAGCACAAGCCAGTCTTCAGTGTGGGTGACTCACGCAGCAGAGGTGCAGGGAAGGGAGAACCAGACGTGGGCGTCGGTGCTAGCAAAGACGTGGAGGGGATCGGGGTGATGTGGGAGAATGAGCAACAATTTGCCCAAGTGGTTGAGGTCACAGTGTCAGGGAGGCTTGATTTTGACCCCCAAGACTTCTTGCTCCAATCACCTCTGGGGAAAGGCTCAGCGCCGACTCTGAGCTCCATGGCTACCCCAGCCCGGAAGGGCAGAAACTGGGGGATGCTGGGGTGTCTGTGCCGAGAGACCCCAAGTCCCCATCTCACCCAGGTGTGCATCCTCCCCACTTCCTGCTGAGGTGAGGCTTCCCCCTTGCCTCTGTGTATCCCCCTTCCTGGGGAAAGTCACCTCTAAAACAGCCACACCTGGCTTGGGCGCCCTCCTGGCTCCGTGGCCTCCGTGACCTTCCCCTGTTTCTTCTCATTTGAGGAAGTAAAGTTGGTGTTCCCACTCTGATTCCTTGTTCTCTCTTACTCGTTGGGTATATTTGCTTAATTTTTTTTTTTAAAGATTTATTTATACAAGAACTGGGGCACAGGCCAAAGGCGTGGGAGGGTGAGAGGATTCACCAGAGACAAAGCAGGGAGCAGAACAGGCAGACGGACCAAAGTACACTGCTGAGGGGAGCAGCGGGCGAGACAGGAGAGGTCTGCTGCGCCATGTGGGACTCTCCCTGGCCGGCTGGGAATCGAACCCATGCTGCAGAAGCTGCGGACAGCCCCACAGCGCTGCGCTCAACCCGCTGCGCCACCAGGGAGGCCCTGTTTGCTTTATTTTCTGAGACAGAAGAACGGCAGGGGAGAGAGCATAGGTGAATATGAGCAGACACTGAGCTCATGGCCCTCAAGAGGAGAGGGAAGGGAGGGCGTTCAGCTGCAGCTCTCTCTATAAAAAAGCACAGTCACTGCTGCATGTGCAGGAAACACCATGAGCTTTTCTTCCCCTCATTTCTCATGTTGGGCCTTCCGTTTCCAACAAGGAGCATGTCTGTTTCCATCACGAATGGGGAGTCTTTCAAGCAATTTTATGGCTTCCTCATGGTGTGTGTGTGTGTGTGTGTGTGTGTGTGTGTGTGTGTGTGTGTGTGAGAGAGAGAGAGAGAGAGAGAGAGAGGGAGAGAGAGGAAGAGAGAGAGAGAGACAAAGGATCTTTCCAGATGGGAATATATATGATGAGAGTAAGAAAGAAACAGGAATTATCTGAGAACGTATAATGCAGATAAGGGGTCTGGCGCATGGACTGCCCTGGAGAGAGAAGGAGCCCCTTCGCCTGGGGGACCTCAGGCTCCCCGCGAACAGCGTATCAAAAGTAGGACACTCACCTCCTCTTTCTCTGGGCTGTTCCTGGACTCCACCTCCACCTGCAAGGAGATGGTTTCTCCAATGCTCTTCCTCTTGGACAGGCGGTCCTCATCTGGGGAAGGAGAAGCCCGGAGCTGGAGTTCCCAGCCCCCACTGAGATCCAGGCAGGGTCACGCCTCCAGCTCTAACCCCCAACCCTCTGCCTGGCCCACGGTGCACACTGAGCCACAGTTGGAGCCGCAGACATTCTCTGCCCACCTCAGAGTGCTGAGTTTTGCTCCTGAGGCCAAGACTCTGAAATGACTGATGAGCACACACTGGAGTTGCTCATGACCAGAAAGCTTCTCCCACATCCCAGCTGTGTCACTGGCTAAGAGCTGCCACTAGCGTGGCGTTTACTAAATGCTGCTGCCTCCATCAGCTCACGTGCCCCCTACGTCAGCCCCCTCAGGCAGTGGGGCTAACATCCCAATTTTTAAGTCCCAAGGAGACAAACTCAGAGATTCCAAGAGACTTGTCCAAGACTTTTCAAGAAGCTGCAGACAACTGGGCCTCTGATTCTGTGCCCTTTCCAGCACAGTAGGGCTCTCCCATCCACAGGCCAGGCTGTCTTGTGGGCCAGTTACTTCCAAGGATCCTGTGTCCACGAGGAGAGCGTGGGAAAATCAAGACTCTCACCAAAGATGCCTACTGTGCCTCTCAGAACCTTCTGTGACATCCAGGGTGCCATGGAAGGTAGCCTACAAGTTGCTGACACTCAGGGCCTTCCTGGCCAATAGCCAGAGGCAGGCTTGGAAGCCCTTGGCCTGAGTGCTTACCTGTCAGCTGAGGGATGTAGGGCAGGCAGAGCCTGTCTGCATTGTAGCCACTGCCCCCCAGGACTTCACTGATCTTGCTCTGGCGGAAGAGAAACTCAATCACCACTCCTTCAAGGTTTTGAGACAGCCTGGACATCAACAGAGGGAAGAGACGAGTTAGAATGCAGGGTAGCGGGATGATTTCCCAGTGACGTTCCTTGTTACAGAACTAATGCTCATTATTCAAATGACAGAGAAGCAAAAGAAAAAGGAATCATCCCCAGTTCCACTTTCTGGAGAAGCGTGCATCCTTTCTGGAGAGGGGCAGAATCCTTCAGCCACATCCACGCACCCATATCCACACACACACTCTGCCTGCCCCGCCTACCTGGGCTGTCATCCATCCCATCCACCTCTCTTGCAGCGACTACTTTGCATGCGTGCCCGTCTCCCAGACGTCTACTGTGCGGGTGAGTCTTAATTCCTCACTGTTGGACATTTCGTTTCTTTAGGATGTTTTTTCCTGCAGTGCCGCTGATGCTGAAGTGGTACTGATGCCCCTGGGGTCCAGCTTCTCATCAGGAACAACTCCCCCAGGATGCAGTCCCAGGGTCTGGCCAGAGAGCCCCCCGGAGGCTGAGTCACACACTCACATCACATCCAACCCTCAGGGACAGCTCAGTGCCTGCGCCAGGCGTGACTTTCCGTCAGGTGAGGGGGTGGACCTTGACCCAGGGCTTCAGAGTCCCAGGCAGGGTCCACTTTCTGCCCTTGAGCCCAGAGGAGACTAAGCCCCTGTCCTCAGACCCCCTGTCTTCTTCCTCAGCTGCTTTGGGTGGCTTTGAGCACGCGTGTGTCTCCTCACCTGGGCTTCTCCACAAACACGTCCTCGGGGAGCATGTACGGAGCCTCCTTCTTCCTGGTCTCTATCACCTGGAGTTGGGAAGGAATCCTGTCAGAGTTGGGTCCTCTCAGTGTTTCCTCCCCCCGCACCATGCGGTGGAGCACCCTGCAGCCGGGCTGAGGGAGAGCCAGCTCAGCAGCACTACGCAGAGCACCCCGAGGAACCCATTGCCACCAACATGCCCTGCATGTCCTCCCCGTGCAGGGAGCCGAGCCCCCAGAGGTTGCGGCGTCTTGCTCCTGGGAGACAGTCCTGTTTCCTATTTAAACATGAAAAAGGGAGTGCAGGCGCGCCACTTCCCAAGCCCACTGCAAAACCTCCCGGATGGACAGGACATCTTCAGTGTCCCTGTCTCCTTTGCAAACTTCTGATGAGAATGGTGAATGTGAGAAATCGGGGCACAGTTGGCACGCACGTGTGTGCAGGAGGTGCACACGCAATGCTGCCGCTATTTTCACAATGAGGTTGTCCGGGCACTGACTTTCCTGCACTCCCTCATCATCCCTGAGGCTTGAAAGGACCTGCCTCCCTTGGGGAGGTCTTTGGCACAGTGCTCAGCACCCTCTTCCATGCCCCCCCAGTCTGCCAGCCAGCTGAAATTGGGGAGCCTTTTATTTTGTTATAGCTTGTTTTGCTAGTATTTTACAGTCCGTCGTAGGCATCATATTCTACCTGCAAATACTCCAGCATGTTTTCAAATGTCTTTTTCTGACATCTGACAGCATTTGATCATACTCGGTATTAGGTAATACTGGAGCATTATCGACCACTTAATGAGGCGTGCCAGTGACTTCTCACCTGACGAGTTCCTATGTCAGCACTTGCCCTCCACCTATACTAAGCACGGGGGGCAGGCAAAGAAGGGAGAGTTCTAAGGACACCCCAGTCATGGCCCTCCCCGGCTCTCCAGGTCTTGAGGAACCCACCTCGTGGATGTGCTGGCAGAAGGCGGGCACCGTAGTGAGCTGGCTGATGAGGTTCAGGTAGGCGGCGCCCAGCGCGTAGAGGGCACAGCGGTTGTACACGGGCAAGTTCTCCTCGTTGACCTGGGCCACGTCCTGGAGCGACAAAGATGGGCCTTGAGAGTTTCTCCCTGACAAGCTAAACCGGTGCCCACCCTCCATGCCCCCACCCCTTCTTTAGAGATGGCTCACTTCTCTAGACTGAGCCTTTTCTAGCATTTGCCCCAGACTTCCTGGGGCAAGGAAATTATCCATGTTAAAGCTGGAATGAGAGGTCCCTAGAACAATCTATGAGCAGAAGGCTCTTAAATTCTTGAATGTGGCGGTGATGGCGTCCAGTGCCCGCTCTGCAGCTCCAGCTTAGACACCGTGACTGCCCACACTTTGCCACGAACCCCAGCACTAGGAGGCTGTTTCCTTCACTAAAGACCTGGGGTGAGTTTTTGAGGACTGGCTTGGCTTGCTAAGCTGGGTTCACATGTTGAAAAAGGTGTGGGGGTTACGAGGGAACTGGGACACAAAGGAATCTCAAATTCTAGCTCTTGTGGGTGAGCAGAGTGAAGACGATCCTAGCATCAGGGCTGATTGTTCAGGGCTCTTCTTTTTTTTTTTTTTTAATAAAGGTTATTGAGGTAATATTGGTTTATAAAACTTGCCGTGCGGCCCTGAGCACTGCCAAGCACATGGTCTGGGATGGCACTACTGAATTCCTAGGCCTCCGTTCAGATGGTGATGCCCATCTGGCTGCAGGACTCGCAGACCCTGACCTTTGAGGCCTGAAAGACCCACTGGATTCCCAGCATCCTTGGCAGTAAACTGCCTCCCAGACAGACCCCCAAAGCCTCATTGGCTGCCCAAGTCACCGGGGAGGCTTGGGAATCTCTAGGCCCTGGATGTGGGGACAGAACTGGGAACAAAGTATTTGTCATAAGTGTTTAAGGCTCTGAAGCAAGGCAGGTGTGGGAACTAAGTGATCTTTAGATTTGTTCTGGGATCACTCAGAGCTTATAAGCACCCTCTCGGAAATCCTTGGGGTTCTATCCAGCCCCTCCCTGCAAGACACTTAAAATATTTGGGGCTCAGACATGTTTTAGACAGGGCCTGTTCCCTGTGTCCCTCCTTTAGTCTGAAGATAGGCTGAAGTTGATGGATGAAGCATCCCTTGGTGGTTCCACCAACAGGACCATGGCTGTGGTCTCCGTGGAGCGATGGCCACCGAGGCGCCATAACAACTAACCTGTTGCCGCTTGGCCCTCTCATCAGTGCTTGGCCCAAACAGGTCCCCCTGCCTGAGCCCGACCCTTCTGTGCTGTCCACGCCGGCCCCACCTGAACAGCCAGCACCAGGCGGATGAGGTCCACCACCACCTCCTCGTTGGCCAGCTCGATGCTGATGAGCGCCAGCAAGCCGTAGAGAGCCTCATAGTGCTTCTGGATATTCGATTCCGCCTTACAGCTCAGGTAGATGTGTCGATAGAGCTGCTGGGAGTGCTGTGGTGGGAGTAAGGGCAGAAAAAGGGCAGGGTGGGGACAGGAGAGGCAAGAAGGGAGGAAGGCCAGTCTGAAAGGGGGGGGATAGATGTGTGTACCCCACTTCCACCCTCAGGGAGACCCTGTGGAAGTGAGCCCCTCCAGGAACTGCGTTTAGGGAGAGATGGGCCCCCTGAAGCTGCGGCAGAAGCTGCTGCCCAGATCTAGTTTTACAAGCAGATCTCAGTTGATGGACTCAGGCTGGCTCACCAGGCCTGGGAGTGAGGATGATCTAGGGGGCTTGACCCCCCCAGGGGTTGGCGGGTCATCCTAAGTAAGCACAGAGTGGGAGGAGGCAGGCTCTGGTGGCAGTGGTGGCTGATGGCTGGGGCACTGGAAGGTGGGGCCCAACCCTGACCTGACCCGCCCGGGGCTCACTGTGTCTTGAGGCTGTGCTTGCTAACCTTCTTCATGAAGACAGTGTCCTGTCGGGAGCACTTGTCCACTTTCAGCTTCAGGACAGAGATGTCACCAAGGGTGCTGGAGGGGTGATGAGAGCCCAGGGCCACCTTAGCCCTTGTATGAGGCCACTCAGAGCTCACATGGTGTCGTCATTTTATCCAACACCCTTACCTGTTCCACAGACCCCCACCTGGGCCAGCTCCCTCCCAGAGCCCTCCAGCCCTGGTTCTTAAGCCAAGCTCCACTCTCTCCCAAGTTCTCAAATTCCTCTCCTCTTTTCGTAAACATTGATCCAGATTTTTCTCTTCTTCCCTTTCTTTCTCTGACATCTGCCCAGTCTCTATTGACGACCCTGTACCCGCTTCTTTCCTTCCCACCTGAAAACTCCCTTTAGTAGCTGCTCCTCATCTTCCAAATCTCCAATCCATGTCCCTGAGCCCCAACCCCTCTCTCTCCTCCCCTGGCAGGACTCCAGGGGTCTCACTGGACATCCAAACTGTCCTCCCACCTGGTGTGAGGCCCTCTCGGGAGTCTTCTCCCCCATTACACATCAACTGAAATGGAGACTCCAAGTTCACCTGATGGTAGAGAACTTGTGGCGGTTGCCATGACGATCAATGAAACTGATCAGAATCTCTAGAACGAATAGACGGATCTCTGCGTCCTCCATGAGGGCCGTGGAGAGCAGGCGGTCAAGGAAGTTGCTGGGCAGGGCTGACATCATGTTGTTGCACTGGAAACCTGTGGACACCTGCAGGGGAGCCCAGGTTGGCTGTGCTTAGCAGTGCTGGCCCTCTGAGGGTCCAGCAAAGCCTGGAGGCACCAGCAGTAAACATTAAAGCTCCCGGAAGTGGGATATATCTGAGTGTACCCCAAACTGTAACCATAACGATGGTAAACCCAGCAAAGAGATGGCAGGTGTACGCAGACGAAGCAGGTCACTAGCTGGGGCAGTGTCAGCACCAAAGCCTTTAGAAAGCAGAGGACCATGAAAGGCAAAGGCTGGGTGGGGGGTGGGAGGAGCAGGGGGCGGAGGGAGAGGGCTGCATAGCTCAGCATGCCTGGAACAGACACAGGGCAGAGAGATGAGGAGGGGAGACTGATGGGGGAAAAGGGACCAGGGACCTTCCAATTTCAGTCTGAGAAGTTTGAAATCTGGAGGCAAATTAACTGAAAACTGAGAACTATTCTTCAGCAAGGAGTAATGTGGGGATCAGCATTTCTTGGAAGGAACTGGGGCTATGTTTGTGACAGGTGAGGACTGATGGAGGCAAGAGGCACAATGAGAATCACCTGGGTGTCAGATGTCCAGAGGTGACGCAGGGTCCTACCTAAGAGCCCCTGGGGAGTTGGCTTTGAATGCAGATTCCCGGCCCCCACTCAGACTGACAGCTCAAAATCTCTAGGGAATCTATATATTTTAACAAGTTGGTCAGAGGAATGGCATTGTAGGAACAATGAATCTAGAGTTTAGGGATGGCTTCAGGGACATAAGCGAGAGGTAAGTAAAGCATGGATGAAGGGAACGGTGGTGACTAGCGACTGAGGCGTGAAGAAGGGCCATGCAAACAGGGGGGGAAGGATCCAGGGTGGTACATGGAGGAGAAATGGGCAAATGCCAGTAGATTCCACTGTAATACAGAGACAGTGTTGGAGCGACACGTCTACCAGTAGCTGGTAGACTTGGTGAAAATTAGAAATAGGGGCACTGCCTACCGGGATGATCCAGCTCTGTGGGCGCCCATTCTGGCTAATGAGCAGAACACAGGCTGGATTTCAGTGCCTTGCGCACCCCTGTGACTGGGCGTAGTTGTGCAGTACGCCATCGGGATGACTGTATGTGGCCGCCTTCTTGTGGTTCTTTGGAAGCCGCTGCCTCTTGGAGAGACAGAGCAGGAATGGGGACAAGAGACACTTACTTGCAGGAGGGATTTCAGCAGCATAATCTGGGTCAGCCGGTTCCTGTTCTCCCTGTAGACCAGAGACACAAATACCCAGCAGGATGGTGACATGGGCAGAAACTCCATGCTTGCCTGCTCAGTCCTCTCTGCTGATTAGGTCCTCCAGGAGGCTCATCTTGCTAGATCACGTAGGACAGTGGCTCTCAGAGCCAGGGAGCAGAGCAGGGCAGTAATGGCTCTCCCCAAAATGGGGGGGGGTTATTGGTGGAGCAGACTGAGGGACTGTTGTGGGATCCAAGGGCCCCACTAAAGGCTGCTGAGGGAGCTGAGAGTAGAAAGCGACGGGAAGTGAGGACGGAACCAGGAAAGTCCAGGTGGAGAAAGGGGAGAGTCTGAAGACGGGACGGGGAAGCTAGGAGAGGAAGGAGGGAGAGGACAGAGAGGTAGACTCACCCCGTCCGCCCTGTCTCCATGGCGTGGTGCAGGGAAGGCAGCGGGACCTTGCTCATAATGAAGAGGATCACCTCTGAGCGCTGGTAAGTAGGCAACGTGCTGGCAAAGGAACCTATGGAAAAAGGAAAAAGATGGGGGTTGGGTTGATGAGTCTAGCCCTTCAGCTGAGCAAACTGCTATGAAGAGTGAGGACTGCTCCTCTAGAGACACCGAGGCCCAGGGAGAAACTGGATGACTCCCAGGGCTGTGGACGGTGTCTGGGACGGAGAGCAGCTGCAGGGAGCCAGGAAGGCAGGCTGTGGAAGTGCTGAGCCCTCACGTACCTATGGGTGGACTAAATGGTTCTCTGCCAGGGCAAGTGCGGACACATTTTCTCCCCTACCTTCTACCTTTGCCCCTTCCTTTCTCTCCAAAGTGGAGGCTTTAGGCTGGAAGCTTCAGCGGGGGCCGGGATGCCGGGAGAGTTCACCTCTTTCAATCTTTGATCTGAAGTCCAGGCTGAGCAGCCCCCCGAGATTGTTCTGTGTGTTCTCTTAGGCCCAGGACAGTCCCTGAGGTGTGTGTGCTGTGGCCTGACCCCACCTACCCCAATGATCATGAATAACATGATATGAGCGGAGGACGATCCCCCCCAAGGCCTGGATTGTGCCTTTGTCCCTCCCTCCAGATTTCCTAACTCTGTTCCTCCTCCTCAAGTATCTGCCACCCCTCCCGGGCCCCACCCCTCCCGGGTCCCACCTATGGTCTTGATGACAGCCTCCTGGAACATGCGCTCTTCGTGCTCCTTGATGATCTTGGTGCCCAGGCTGATCGCCCCATCGTAGCTCCCCGTCAGGGCATAGTCGATGCTGAGGCGCAGTTGCCTCAGGAGAGTGTTGAACATCTCCAGCACCGTGGGCCCTGTCGCACAAGTGGAGGCCTGAAGTCCAGGGCTGCGCCCTGCGCTCCCCCCCTGCCCTGCATCACCCGGCCGGCCCAGGCGCCCTTCCAGCCGGGGGCTTCCTCTGCCCCCCACCTGCCACCTGCTTCTCTGGTTCTGGCATCTCCCTCGGGTGCCTCGCCCTTCTCTAAGGGGAGGCAGCCCCACGCCGAGGGCAGTTCTTTGTCCACAGCGTGTCCCCAGCCTCCACCGCTCGCGCAGGGCCCCTCACCAACAGAGCCGGTGGCGGCGATGACCGCTGCTTCCGACAGGACCTCCACGATGCCGGCCCGCACCGTGGCCGCGCTGCGGCTGTTGGCATCCAGGTGACTCAGGAGCTGCTGGATAACCAGGTGGGAGTGCTGCGGCTGGGGGGAGGAAGACGTGCTGGGCCCCAAACGGCCACCCCCACGTGGCCTCGGAGCCAGGCAGCCCTCACCTGGCCCCAGAGGCCGGTGGACAACAGTGAGGCTGCAGGCCAGTGGGCACCCAAACACCCGGCTCCTTTCCCCCTCCCGCCTTGGCCTAACTTGGAGCAGGGGCAAATCCCAGTGAGGTCCCGCATTTCTGCACATTCCCCACGCCCTTTCACTTCAAATGGGTTAAAAGTCAATTTTAAAATACTGTCGTTCATTTTCTCCAGCCCCAGTGAGGACCACCTAGCTTAGCCCAGTGCTGCTCAGGGGGGCCGGTGGTCTGGAAACAGATCTCTCGGAGGCACCACGTTTCCATGGAGATTAAGTGCAGAAATAGAGGGTAGGAAGCAGTAGGACCATGCCATGGCAGCCAAGCGTGACCTGTGGGCTTGTATTTTGCATGAGTTCTTTATTTAGGAATTCCTTTTAAATGTATCTTATAAAGGATCGGTCTGTGACACAGTAGAAATAAAACCGCATTGGCTCCTCTCCACAGGCAGGCTAAGCAGCACTGGCTCAGACAAGGAGGGCCTCCCAGCTTTCTCCCCTAGTGCACCATCCTGTTCCCAGAGGCACCCCGGCCGGGGGGCCACGCTGCACTGGAGCACCACTGTACCTGAATTGAGTACATGATGATTTTAAAGCAACGGATGGCGAACACCTTTGGTTCCCAGAGAGAATGGTTATCCAGGTGTCTGCGAGGGAGAAAACATGGGCGCCAACTAGGAAGTGCCTAGTGATGTTAGGGAGGAGAGACAAGAGAGGGGCATCTCCCGAGGGACCCAGCCCCTCCTACAGCCACCAGGTGAGTGAAGGGAGAGAAGCAGGAGGGACCCCCCAGGCACTCCCAGCCCAAGTGGGCGCTCGGTCAAGGTTCTGTAACTGTGAACACAGGAATGAAGCTGGGCACCTCCCTTCAGCCTGGGTGCTCTCCTGTCACCTCCCCTCCCCAGCTGCGCGTGGCCCCTGTGTGGTAGCCTTTGCTGTCACGCTGCAGGGAGCACCGGTGCAGAGTAGAAACTGGCGTGGCCACAGCCCGCCACTGCAACAGCACCTCCCTCCTCCCAGCGGCAGCAAGCAGGTGCCGGGACCTGGGGCAGTCGGGGTGGAGGTCGGGGTGGGGGCACTCACATGAGAACAGGCTTGATGGCATTTTTAATGTTGCCAAAGGCCGCCCGGCCCAGCAGTTCCCGAAGGCACCTCTCGGCCAGCTCGGCTGGGTTCTCCTTTTCTTTCTCTGGTGCTTGGAGGGGCGAGGGGGACCGACTGTGGAGACACACGGCCGGCGGGTGAAGGTTGGAAGGCAAAGCCAGGGCTCGGGCCTTGTGCTTGCCTGGTTTCTACAGAGCAGTGGCTGGCTGCCCTAGCTCGGAAATTTAATGAGGTGAAGAAGCCCAGGGTGGAGGAAGATCACGGGAGGGGGGTTATATTTCCTTCTGTCAACACTGATACCCTGAGTGCTGAGGGCAGAGAGCACAAGTATCTCCATGTCCCTAAAACTTTGCGAGGAAAGGGGGATGGGTATGACAAGCAGGAGGCAGGGAGAGGAGGAGAAAGCAAAATAAAGTGGGAGAGAGAAGGCGGAAGGGGAAAAGACAAGGCAACGTGGTTGGCTCAGGTGTGACTCACAGAAGGAGGGACGAAGGCGCCCACGTGCCAGGAGCCAGGTGGGGGCACAGGAGCCCAGGGGCAGCAGGTCTCACTGATCTCACGGGTCAGTGAGGTGCTGTTCCAGAGACAGCCAGCAGAGGGCACACTGACTTTCTGGCCGCACAGGCGCCAATCCAGTCTCTTTAAGGCACATCACGCACAGCAAGGCGGACAGCAGCAGGACCTACGCCTCCACCCCATTTCACAGGGGACAGCGAGGCAGGCACAGGATGAGTCCTGTGTTTGGGAACTCCCAGATTAAAACCCAGTAACTAGTGTGGAGTGGCTGCTGGCTGGTGAGGCAGAAACACAAAGGCCTGAAATACCATTGGGAAGTGAGGAAGGAAGCAAGGTCAGGGAGGGAAAATCCTCAGCAACGGCGGCCATTGATAGGCATTTGAAAACCTCCTTGGCCTGTTGCTGCCAGAGGGACAAAGGTAACTGGACTCTTGGTTCTTTGTGTTCTTATCTGCACACACATCCCCCCGTGGAGCCTGGCTTGTCCTTCCTTCGTGAGCACAGACCTTAAGGCTGTGGCTGGCTGGCTGAAGGCCAGACCCCAGGCTATTAGGGAGCAAGCCTTGGGCTCTCTGCACAACAAGCCACAAAGCAGAGCTCCCTGGCCTGGTAGCTGAGTGTCACCAACCCACCCAGGTCCTGTGGTGCCCAAGCAGCCAGAGCAGCCTGCACCTGCCCCACCTGCCCCTTTTACCTCTCAGCCTCCTCCACGTGCTGCAGATTGAAAAGCAGTGATGGGACGATCTTGTCCATGTGCTGTGGTTCCCAGATATTGGCCTGCAGTTCATCGTTCACCGTCTTCCTCACCACCCCTTGCAGGCCTTTTATGCCGGACATTCGGATCCTGTAAGGAAAAGGGTGGGCAGACTCAGGCCCTGAGAAGCCCAGCTCCTGGGCACGGAGAGGACAGTGTGGGGGTGAGGGATGCATTTGTCCATCAAAAGGCAGGAGGGAGCCCACTTCTACTCTTCATACAACTCCTGGCTGGCTACCTTCTTGTGTTGGTGGCTGTGAGCCCAGGAAACCATGTCTTCTGGCTCATCCCAGAGATTTCCAGACTCCCTGTTCCCAATACCACCTGGGCTTCATCCCTAGGATGCCAGTTGTTCAGCTGGGTTTGTTCCAGCCTGAGCCTAAGATATGAACCCAAAGATATGCCAAGAACTGATGAGGTAGAATCCAGGACTCAGCCACTTACAGGAGGGTGGGGGTCGGGGAAGAAGCACACAGCCACTGGGCTCTATGGGCGCCCAAGGGGGCTATGCTCTCTGGAAACCCACAGGGGAAGTTGAGTAATAGCTCAGGGAGGGCACCTAGTCCTCATACACTGACCCAGAGTCAGCTTGGCCCAAGGCAGGGAGCGCCCTTCCTGGCCATTTATTTCAGCCTGAATTCCTTTTTTATCCTTATTTTAATCAACTTTTTTCAATTATAAAATAAAACATGATAATTATAGAAATCTATAAAGAAGATTTACCCTTCCAGTCACCTCTCAAAGATAACCATTATCGGCATTGTTGTCTTCCTTTCTTCTATGCATGATACATAAGAGAATTAAGACCCTATTGTGAGTGTAATTGAATTGGTCCCCACGCCACCCCCAACATTCTATCCTAAGCATTTTCCTGTTTCACTGGTTCATTTCCTAATCATTCCTTTATTATTCCAGTATCATTATCATAACATGTTGGTGGCTGCATGATAAACTGTCTTAAGAACTTTGTAAACTCCTCTCCAATTGGTCATTTAAGTTGTTTGAGTTTTCTGTCTTCAATAGAAAGCTACACCGAACCTCATTGTTTAAAATATTTTACCACATTTCAAATGATTGCCCTAAGAGGGGTTACTGAATCCAGAGCTAAGAAAGGAAGGGCCCAATTTTGCCCACTGACTGTGTGCCTCCAGCGCACAGGCGCAGAAAAACACCACCCATCCTCACTGTTCTCCATAAGTGCCGGGTCTAATCTATAGCTCAGAAAAGCCCCACATCTGGCAGCTTTTCTCTTTTGAATTTTCTTGATGTTTACTGGGGATTTCTTCTTGCTATTGTTTGTATTTTCAGTCTTAAATGGGGTTACCAAGTACCCTACCCTGTGTCTTACTGGGTGACGGTACCCAAACTGGGGGCCCAGGACCAGTTAGGGCAGGGGTTCAGCTGCTCTGAGTCTGACCCCTGTCAAGACCCTTAGTCAGGATGTAACAAGTCACAGGAATCCATTCCACTGGCCCTGCCCTAACATCATTCCTCTAGCTTGGAAGCTTCCAGAACCAGTCAGGAGGGCTGCTTATCGCTAGAAGACTGTCTCATAGCCTCTTAGAGCCTCCCTCAGTTGATAACACCTTCTTTGTAGGTAGGGACTTACTTCTAATCCTTTTGCATTTTCAGATTCGGACAATGTTTTACATTGTCCTTGCTTCATCAGTCTGATGCAATCTGAAGGGTTTTATTAATCTATGTCGATAAGTATATATCTCTGAGTTAAGTATTTGTGTGACTTTGAGTGTGTGCTTGTGTAAAAGTGTGTTCTTTAATTCAAGTAGCTGATCTGAAAACATTCATTCATTCATTCACTCGACAAATACTTATTGTGTGCCTCCTGCTCTCAGGCACTGTTTTGCTCTTGGGATGCATCAATGAGCAAAGGAGTCCTGCCCTCACAGAGCTTCCATTCTAGTGGGGAGAGGCACCCAACAGGAGGCATCGTGAGTAGATTATGGAGCAAGTGAGGGAGAGAGAAGGGGACTGGGTATGTGGGGGTGTCAGGAGAAGTTATTGACAAGGGGACATCTGAGCAAAGCCTGAAGGAGTGAGTAATACAGACCCACAGAGGAAGCATTTTAGTTACAGGAAGAGACTGTGCACAAGCCCTGTGGCAGCGATGCCCCTGTACGTTTGTGGGGCAGTGAGGAGACCTTGGTGGCTGAGGGGGGCTTATGGGAGAGCATTGAGATGAAGGCAGGAAGTGCATAAATGAATGTGCTTCTGAACAAAGGCAGCATGTGTGCTTGTGTATGTTTGTGTGCATGAGCCAGAGCTCATGTGCGTGTCTGTGAGCTCATGTGCATGTGTGTGAGCTCTTATGCTCTCAAACTGGGCTCAGCAGACCCTTACCTTACATCTCACCCTGTTCTCTGCCTCCAGAGCCCTTTCTTTTAGAAAGCACATGTTGGGAGTCCAGTCTGTCCACTTGCCCACTGATGTCCTGCCAGGTGCTCTTTCTTCCAGAGAAGGTCACAGCAGAGCTCAACGCCAAGGAAGTCAGACAAGCAATCTGGGCTGGGAGCTCAGCAAGCCCTGTGATGCTTCTGTCTTGGCCGCACAGTGCCCCTCCCCTCCCGCCCCCACCTCCTGCGCAGACTCACTTTGTCTTGATTTCCAAGTCATCATGGCTGGAGTGGCACATTTCACTGAAGCGGGACACAAAGAAGTCATAGCTCCGGTGATAGGATGGCGTGTCCTCCTCGATGTTGGCAAACTTCACGAACTATGAGGGAGCAGAGAGAAAGGCAGGTAAGAGGAGACCATGTGTCCTCACAGGCCGCACTTGGCTTCCCCAGGCTCCTGCCACTGTAAAGCTCCAGGGCGGCACCTCTGGGTACCCGGTGCTGGTCCACCTGACAGTGCACACTCGAGAAATCAGGAGCTCCAAGTCCTGCTCATCTTTCCTGTCTACACAATCAGCCTGGAAAACAAGGTCCTCGCCTTCCATCCCCAGTGGGGTGAGCAGAGGGTGGAAGAGAAGAGGTTCCTTCAGCTCCTGCTCCCTTTTGTTTCCAGACACACAGGCTGCCAGGCTGAGAGGAATAATTCTGAAATGGAGCAGAAGCCAGTGTCAGTCGACATGGCATCACCTTGAATGCCTTCCGGCAAACAAGAACACATCTAAAATTGATGAAAACTATAATAACACTTTATTGTTAAACAGTTGAGTAAATTTATGGTTTGCCACTTCAGTGGAGTAAGTCTCTCTTGGTTCTCGCTGCTGCTTCCTCCGTCATTGCTCTGCGGCCCATTTGCTACTCTCAACGGGGTCTTCGTTTCAACCGCATCCCACAGAGAAGCCAGAATTGTGGACTAAGTGGAGTTAAATTACTGAAAATTAAATGTAATTTTTATGGGTTATTTTGTTTAATGTTATAAATTTATTGCAAATGACTCTAAAGAGATTAGACTTAAAAATATATACTCCATATTCTGCTTTGTATTATTTAATATCTACAAACGTGTTGGTTCAAAAAGCATAGACTATGGAGATGATTCAAGGACCAGTGCCAGGGCACAGAGCTTCCAAGCCCTCTCCAAGCCGGAAGCTCCCCCCCAAAACTCCACAAGTTCACCAACCTACGAGCACCCTGAGTCTTGTTCTTTTGGGTTTTCATGGAGACTTTATTATAGAGGCATGGTTGATTAAATTGGTGGCTGTTGGTGATGGGGCTCAATCTCCAGCCTTTCTCCCCTGGGGTGGGGGGTGGGGTGAAGGGCCATAGGACTGAAAGTTCCAACCCTCGAATCACAGGATTGGGGCTCACCATTAGTCCCCTTCCTTAGTGTGGTCCCAAGGTCACTTCATTCACATCAACCCAGTTGGGGTGGAAAGTAGCGTGTTATGAACTGGACACCCAATTCTCCTTTAGAGCTCATGGTTAGGGGCTCTGCACCAGAAATAGGACAGAGGCGATATACATATTTCTTACTAGGAATCACCAACACCACTATTATCCTTAAAATAATCTGATTAGTACACTCCCTTAACATTATTTTATCACTCTATTTCCCCGTTTAACTACTTAAACATTGTATTCACTTCTTCGGGATGAAAATTAACAACTTCAACAAATATTAATTAATGATTACTGGTATTTCATTCTTACGCTAATTAATATACATTTATTTTCTGCTCACTGATAAAATCCCAACATGCGATGCAGATAGAAAGATCTTGCCTCCCAAGTCACATCTAAAATCCATACACATATTTGGAAGTGAATATTTTGATATTAGCAATAAATCCAAATGACTCAGCCTGCATTATTGATGAGTCTATGCAGAAGAGCCCTAAGGGTAACCCATGTGATCACAAGAGCATTGATTAGACACAAGTTCAGGAGTTCCAGAAGCAACTATAAAGCAGGGCTGTGACTATATGACCTTCCTAAGCCCCCAAAGGCCAGAACACAGACTTAGGCTGATGCTGAGCTGAAGCAAAATTTGGGTGCATCGCTGCCCTTAGCCACGCTGCGCTCCCCATGACTGAAGTGTGACTGGGTCAGGGTGTCTGTTCCTCAATGGGGATGGGTAGAGCCCTGTAAGGGGTCTAAGGCAGGTCTTCCCTAGCTAGTGGTATGACCCATGAGTGGGACATTAAACTCCTCATTTTATTTTCCCACGTGTAAAATAAGTGGCCCAGTCTTCATTCACTAGGTTTTTATTTATAGGTAGCAACCTCAGATAGGATAAGGCAGCTTAAAACAAGCCTACTTGGGTGTTTGCAAGAGTACACGCACTTTAGAACAACACTGGGGGGAAAAAGAGGCTATTAGTAAACGGAGAAACAATTGAAAAAGCCTCTGTCCCTAACATTTACTGAGTGCGGACCTCAAATACATGTCAGGAAAACAAAAGGCCAAATTTCGCATTCACTGGTTTGAGGATTTCTGGGTGAATAGCAATAAATTTTTAGAAACTTTGGATGATAGATGATAGATAGATAGAGAGATAGACAGAGAGATAGATAGATAGATAGATAGATAGATAGATAGATAGATAGATAGATAGATAGATAGATAGATAGTCAGAATAAATACAGATATCTAGTACTACCCTACGCATTTTATGTACATCGTTTCTTTTATTTCTTAAGTGGTTCTAAGTTAGAGAGAGCATTATTCTCACTTCACACGCTAAGAGACTGAGACCCACAAACATTAAGGAACTTGCCAGGGTCCTGCAGGAGTAACCCAGGTCTCAGCCCCCTGAGCCTCGTGGGACCTCTGCCCCAGACCTTCCCCCACTTCTACTCCCACTCCCTGCCTCCTCCAGCACCTCAGGCCAGGTGACCCGGGACTGCTGGATAGGGGATGAGGCATAGGGGGTATTTCAGGGGAGGAACAAGCAGAGAATGAAGACGTGGCCAGGGTGGCCTTAGTTGGGTCTTATGGAGGGGGTGGGGGAGGGGTAGAGAGGGGGTGAAGGAGGGAGGGTCCTGAGTGCCAAACATTAAGTGACAGCAGAGCCAAGTGGGCTGGTAACCAGGCAGATTCCTGCCACCAACCCCAGACATGCTGAATCAGTCCTGGTCTTGGATGAGGCCCAGGGATTTCCCTTTTAATAAGGTCCCAGGAAACCCCAGTGGGATGGCCCGAGGCCCACAGTTGAGAGCACAGCGGAATCACTGACAGCGGAATCACTGACAGCGGAATCACTGACAGCGATTGGCTTCCTCCTTCCTCTCCAGCCTCTCTCCCACACTGACGCGTCTCTGGATGGATTTCTGGTCCTCTTGGGACTGGACGTTAAGTCTCCGTTCAATTGTTCTTTTTTAAATTGACACAGCATGGGGTGACTGATGGGTTCCAGGAGCAAAGCTTCACAGTTCCACATCTCAACATAAACCGCACATGCCATCACCACTAGTCACCGCAGCGTGCTCAGGACACAGCACCGTGGTGACGTGGAGACAGTGGGCGTCTACGGTTTATCCATCAGCTGGGCCTGGGCTCGGGTGCAGGGTGATCTTTGTCCTTTCCATGCTACCAACACGGGTCCAGCCAGAAATCAGAGGAGCAGACCAGAGGGGCAGCATGGACTGTGCAGGTAACTAACACACCTCAAATATGACATGGGGTGGGGTGTAGAGAGAAGATGAGTTACAGACACCCCCCATAACACGGTGCCCCTGAGGGTGAGAGTGGGGGTGGCGGCAGATGGCTGAGAAGTGGGAGATGATGGCTGAGGCACCTGAAGTGCCGTTCAGGAACTGAAGATCATTTAGCACAGTAGGGTGGGAGGGAACACAGCACCTGGGGGCAGGGGGCGGACTGGAATGGGGGCTCAGGGAGTGGCCACAGCCAGAATGACATCTTTAAAATGCACATATCACCTCCTAGAGTGTGAATAGAGTAAAGGAAATCTGGAATAACAGGAACTGTGCGCATTCAAGGCTTATTATTCCTAAGGTTCTTATTCCTAAGGTTCTTAAGAGGCTTAAACTTTTTATGAGTCTTACAAAATTCAGCCCCGCACGTCACTGAACAAGTGTTTGCTGGGTCAACGTGCAAATACACACTCCATTCTTCACACTCCACGAGTCCACTATTGTGCCTTCACACCCCACTTGACCAGAAAGACGAATTTCAAATACGGCTGTAGTGAAGCCCGCTTGCTTGGGTTTCCTGGACACCTTGTTCTTTTGGATGCCTTCCAGATATTCAGAAGCCATGGATCCCTGCAGGAGTTATTCATGGACACAGGCGTCTTGGTGAGGAGCAGCTGCCCTACCTTTAACGCCCAATGTGGATGCAGGGTGAGTGACAGAGCAGTTACACCTACACACCAAATCGTAACAAAGGAACCGCTCCTGTTGAGGAATGCACAGTGCAGCCTTGCCTAGGGCTGCGCCACTCCAAACTCTGCCATCTTCTCTGTGTCAGATCGTCTTTCTCATATAAGACCCTTGTGAGGGATAGGGGCCACCCAGATAATCCAGGATCATCGCCCCATCTCAAGCTCCTTAGCTTGACCATATTGCCCAGCCTGTTTCTCAGTAGCAGATATTTACAGGTTCCAGGGATTGGCGTGTGGACAATGGGGAGGGGGACATTTTTCATTCTAACACAACATCCATTATATCTGGTGCACATTTTGGCCAACGTGTGAAACAGACCTATATTCCATTATATATATATATATATATCAGGACCTATATTCCCTATATTGCTCCCATTGTGCAGATGAAGAGGCAGCTCAAGGAGGTGCCAAAGGAGCAAGTGAATTATTTCAGATCAATCAACTCATGACAGGTGAAACTGGAATGTGGATTCTGTACCAATGTTTTTGTTTTTTTTTTTTTTAACTTTCATGACATTGGTATGAGCTGAAGAGTTTATTGAAAAGGCAGGCTTCTGAGCCACCTGGACCTGCTGACAGCCTCTCTGGGGGTAGGGCCTGGGTATCTGCATTTGGAAGAGTGCTGTTCCCTCTGACCCTGGAGATTCTGGGGCAGAGGTCTATAGACACCATTTCCTTTGTCCCTTGGAGCTCTGGAAATGTTCTGAGGCAGCATGTGGGGAGGATGTAGGGAAGCTTGCACTTGGCGATGGAGCTCTGTCCAGGCTGGATGGATGGCGAGGACCATCCTTTGAGCCAAAGTGGTTTGGGGTTGAGCCAAGGATGGGAGAGGTGGGCCTCCCTGCCACAGTTCCATCTCTGGAAAACACTGTCTTCTACTCTGTCTTCTACTCTTCTACAAGACTGTGGCTTGCAAAT